TATACTTAATTATGTATACTTAAAAGTTTAAAAGTTTCTTATAAATACTTTTAAAAAGATTGAAAGCATAATTTTCTATAATTTATTAGATTAATCAAATTTTATACTATTAAAAATATAAAATATACATTACTATATATAATTTATTACACTCTTTTTATCTTTAAATAAAATGCTTTCTATTGAACTCTTTAAAATTATAGTATAATTTCTATTTATAAATTTTAAAAAATATCTAATTTTCTTTTTACTTTCTAATAGTTTTATTTGATTTTAAGATTTTTAAATAATGTAGCTTTATTAAGTATTTTATTAGAAATTTAAACAAGTATTTGAATTGGTTCTTTTATATTTTTTTGAAGAAATTCTTAAATAGATTTCTGAATAAATTCTTGAATTATTTCTTAAATAGATTATTAATTAGTTTTTTTTAAATAAAAAAGGATATATTTTTTTAATTTTATAAAAGTTTACATATATTATCTTGCTTAAAAACTTACAAAGTCATTAAAATATTGATTATTTAAATAATAATATTTACAAGGTGTATCTTTCTTATAAATTCTTATTTTTCTAACTATAGTATTAGTTTTAACTTATAGTTGATATTTAGCTATGACTAAGCCTAATATTTTAGCTGTTGACTAATTTGACTGATTGGTCAAAATTAGTGGCCAAATCGCTAATTAGCCAAATCAGTCAAATGATACATGATTTTGCCAATTTTGACTGCAGTTTATTTGCAAATTGCAATTTATTAAATTTATTACAAAATTACAAAAAAATTGGTCTCTAATATTCAAAACGTTAAAATTTCTTATAAAATAGCAAAAAATTGACACCTCTAATATTTAGGATGTTTAATTTTTTGCAAAATTGCAAAAATTAATGCCTCTGATATTCAAACGTTAAAAATAGAATATTTTAAATATCAGAAATATCAATTATTACAATTTTAACATTCTGAATATCAGTATTAATTTTTTTTATAATTAACCAATTATATTTCTGTTTCTATTATATAAAAAAAAATTTTTGGTCTGCTAAACTTAAAATAAAATTTGGCTATTTTGGTTATAACTAAACGGTCAAATGATTATAATTAAACACTGGTCAAATAGCTAAATGCTAATACTGCTTTAATTATTACCATACTTATTTATAAAATTTTTTCTTTAATAAATTATTTTATATATATATCACTTTTTGATTATAAGATTGTCATCAAAGAAAATATTTACAGGCTTGCTAAAGTCTTTCTAGTTATTATAAAATTAAATATTGATTAATTATTATTAATATTTTTAAAAACTTAGTAATAAAAAATAAATTAATAAATAAATATTCATATTTATACCTTAGTAATTCTAAAAAAAACTTGTTGAAAAATTTATATTAGGTCTGAAAAATGCTGATTTATTAAAAAGTTAAAAATAGATATTATATTCTAATTGTAATAAATTTACTTCTTTTGTTTATGACTAATGCTTATTACATATTAGAAGCTATTATATTACTTAATATTATAATAGGCTTTGAACTTAAAATTATTAGAATAATTTTCTAATTTTTTAACCAATCAATTCATCAAATTAATTTTAAATAAAAAAATTACTAAAAATAATGAGAAAATGCTTAAAATTTAAGGTATAATAAATTAACTAAAATTTTGCTTAATTTTGGTTAGCATATAATTTTTACCTAAATTTTTATCAGATTTGTTATTTAATAAACTAGTATGTATAGAATAATTTTTTGACTAAAGAAAAATTAAAATAATTCTGCAAATTTTTCTGAATTTTTATCAAGACTATTAGACTTATTTTTTTATTAAACCAATTTTTTTTAAAATTGCTACTGATATATTGATTTTTATTAGATTTATTTTACAGAATGATAATTTGAAAAAAATTAGAATTGTTAAATTTGTGTTTTGTTAAATTTAAAAGAATAATATATTATTTAATTAGCTAATTAGCAGAAAAGCAATTATAAATAAATATTTTTGTTAGATTTATGATGAGAGAATTGGAATTATTAGACTTATTTATTATTTTTCATTAAATTTATAATAAAAATATACTAATTAATAGTTTAATATATATAAAAGCATTCTTGATATATAAATATGTTAGATTTATTATATATAACTGAAAAGTTAATATAGAAATTAAGAAGTTAAAACCCTTTCTAATATAGTAAAAAAATTGATAGAATATCAAAATACAATATTAAGTGAAATTATAGGATTTCCTTTCAAAATTTCTATAATGACATTGTGTAAATTTGTTTATTTACCTTTTTATTTTTAAATTTATTTTGAGAATTTTTTTTTTAAAAATAAGTTGAATATTTAATTTATTATATTTAAATAAATTTAAGTAAATCATTTATATTATTTATAATTATTTATATTTATTTATATTATAAAAAAAGTAATATCATAATGATAAAATCAAAAATTAGCTATTATTTAGTAGAATTAATTGATATATATCAATTATTTAACAAATTTTTTTTTTTTTTTCAAAGTATTTAATACTATTCTTTTTTATAAAAAAAAAGGACTTAAAATTTAATAAAAAGTTATTTAAAAAAAATTATAAATTTAAATAAATGATTTTAGGATTTTCTATACTGTAAAACCTTAAAATTAAGCATTAAATATACCTATAATTTTGTTAATAGTTATTTTTTATAAACCAACTAATATTTATGTTAAAAATCTTAAAACTTTAAAAAACGGTTACATATAAAGTATTTTTATTAGCTCAAAATCATACAATACAAGCAATAGGAAGTAATCATATATAAAAGTTGTTCTTTTTGATTTATTAAAATAAGTACTTATACTATTTGCAGATAACGGTAATATACATCTTGAATTTATCTATTCCGATTATTCCGATTAATAGTATGAAAATTTTTTTATTCAAAAGGTCTATTTTATTTACCTTGTAATAAAATGTCTGTATTATCAATCATCGTTATGAAATCCCGTATTAAGAGTTGACACTAAAAAGTTTCATTATTGATGTTGTAATACATGCTCGCATGGTTTGACATTACATCCGTGATTTAATGTCCTCTGACCTAATTTTGTAACGGTTCCCGTTGTATTTCAGTTGGGTAAAAAATATTCTTATTTCAATCTTCCTTTATGAGCACGATCGGCAAAAGTCCAACAATCAATCCTTCGCAACGTGTCGGTTTCATACTTACATATATGGACGACCTTTTTTTTAAAAAAAAAATTAATACAAATATATATATATATATTTTTTTTATTTTTTTATTTTCAGAAAGGGGCCATAAAAAAATGTTTATAATAGAATGAAATAAAAAAATTTTTTTTTTTTATTCTTTTCGATAATGATGTTTTAGATGGATAAAATAAGATAGATAAAGAACTTGGAGGTCCGATCCGGTAATCCATTAAGTTTTAATGAGATAAATGTAATTTTAAAAATTTGATGGTCAACTCATTTTTTTTATATCACCATAATTTTTTTTTGTTTCACATGATGATAACTTGATGATAACATTGAATTATACTCTTACGGAATTTGGCTTATCATTTACAAAAGGTGTATTAAGTTCATGTAGATAAAATACACGACATATATTGACATATATTAGGTGAAATATACTTGAAAAAAGTTATTTTTTTTAAACAAAGAAACAAAAGGGTGAACTTAAAATATCCGCACGGATTATTGTTATTTTTTTGGTTAAAAGAATTTTTAATTGAGAAAAAAAAAAATGTTAAAATGTATTATAAGGATTTTGACATTTTTTGATCTGTGCGCTGATTATGATTTAAAACCAATCATAACCTTATTAGTTTCATTAAATAAAATACCAAAAGTTGGGATTTTTTCTTTCAAAAAGGGGGGATTTAATTGTAATAAATTTAGTTAATTTTTTTAAAGTTGTAACTAATAATGATCTAAATTAAAAATTTTATCAATCTCTGCGATTCAACTATCCCTGTCAAACATGTTTGACATTTTTTTTTCTCATGAGAAAATATATCCCCTTAAATCTTGTTCGTAATGTGTGACAAATGAATTTCACTTACTTTATAAAGAAAAGTTGAAATAATTAAGTGACATATTTAATGATCCACACATCACTAAATTTCGTAAGCGTTAAAGTGTATTTGACCTAATTTCATCATCTCTTATTTTAGAGAAATATAGATAGTCATGATTAACATTGTTATCAAAAAAAACTTTCATTCAAGGAGATGGGTATTTGAAGAAAAGAAGTTCCTTTTACAGAAATAAGTTCCGGATGATCTCAACTGCCAAATTGTAAAATTTCAACACGAAACACTTAACACCATATTGATCAATAAAAAATTTTTGTTCTCGATGATTAGAAAAGCAATATTTAGAATATTATTGTTAATTTTTTTTTTTTTTTTGTCGTTTTTTTATTATGCAAATTTTTAAAAAAATCATTATAAAACATTTTCTTATCGAAAGAAATATAATAGAAAAAAAAAGAAAATTTGTACACAAATTTTTTGATACGTTAAACTATACTTAAAAAAAAAAAAAAAAAAAAAAAAAAAAAAATAAAGAAAATATATAATACTGTATTTAACAAGGAAATGTCATAACTAGCCATCACAATAATGTCTTCAATAAAAAAAAAATGCTATACAATTACTTTTTAAAACTCTAATGCTAGGTTACAAAATATATTATTTACATTACCTCTTTACGAGAGATATATACAAGGAAATTTAACACGACGTTAAAAAATAACATCGTGAACTCGGTCCTCATCAAGTAAGAAAAAAAATTTTTTAATAAAAAAGATGTTTTCTCCATATTTGAACTATATGGTAAAATAAAAAAATTTTTTTTTTTTTGTGAAAGTTCACATTAATAATAATAATAATAATAATAATAATAATAATTAAATCGGTCTGTACATCAATACACATCATTTATATAACATATATTGTAACGTTCAAGTTTAACTCATGGCTATTCGTAGTGTTTCTTGTATTTGAGGTTCTTAACCATGTCACTACCTAACTCGACTGCCAATAGTTCTCTATAATAATCAAAATGACACTCTTAGTACGGTTATCATTTAAAGAAACTCTTTCATATTGAATAACTAAACCAACCTGATATGATCGATGGCTTCGTTATCAGCATTGCCGCTTAACCAAAGTTCTACGCGATCACCTCTGCTTCTACGAGCGCAGACGGCACCGCAGATAACATTGTTATCGTCGATAGTTTCACCGGCAAGAAGCAAGATAATTGAATCCCATAGCGAATCGAGTCGATTTCTTGAAGGACATAAAGTGAAACGACCTCCCTATAAATGAAAAAAGAGTTTGTTAATAAATGAAAATAAAAAAACGTGAGCCGAATACAAAAAAAAAAACTCGATAATTTACCTTTTGGTTAACTTCATCTTCCCACATAGGCATTATGTCCCCCTTAAAGAAGCTAAGATTCGCAAACGTTTTCATGTCGCTTGGCTTAACTTTTGAATAGAATTCACGCAAATTTGAGCACAATTCTGGAACCGTGTTGCATTTAAAAATCGTGTTCAATGTCGAAGAATATTTATTCTTCGAGACGATCCTTGTGTTCGTCTTCGTCGCTGATGTATCTGAAAAATACATTGTCCTATTAACAAATATAAAGTAATTCTATCATTAGTATAGTCAAAAAATGAAATGAAATGAAGTAAACAAAAATATATATTTTACCATTTATTGGACAATGGTAAAGATTCTGGATAATTCTCTTCTCTGATTCTTTCGAGTTGTCGACGAATCCTAAGTGCCTCATCTGAATCTGGTTCCAATTTCTTGAGTTGTTCCACAATTTCAAATAAGTGGGGGAGCAAATATTCTTGCTCCTCGTGCTCCTCGAGTACCTCGTGGTCGTCCATCTTTTGTTCTGAATCCTCACTTTCATTCCCGCAAATTTCCAAGTCAACTGGTTCTTCGATTGTCATATCTTTTTGACATTCCTCGACGGGAAGTACTTTTTCAAACTCTTCCTCCTCCTCATCTTCTTCCAAAACTGGAGAAAGATGCTCAGAACTAAGGGTTGAAAGTACGGAAGGTGATCGAGAATTGCAATGCTTTAAATCATTAATAGATTCTTCTTCGGTAAACACGGTGTTTGCTGATTCTGCGTACGTCGACGTATTTGAAAATGAGGTAGTTGAAGTCTCGGACACGGGAGTAGACAAGGTTGAACAACCCAAAGATGCAAAGAAGGCATCATCGTCGTCTTTACAAAGCTCTATGTTCGTTTCAATTTTGAGATTCTGTATATTAAAACGTGTATTAGGAATTGCTTTTGGAGGTAATCGTACGACAAGTGGTTCGGATTCGAAGTTGATACTGCTTGATGTGATATCGTTGTGATGACTATAATCGTTATAACGGTTGATCCACATTAATTCCCTTCTTGAACTCGATTTGATTGATGGGCTTTGCGATCCATGAGGAGGTAACTTCACCAAAGGGCAAACCCCCGTCGCAATTTCTATCGCGTGTGCAGATTCGTATTCACCCTCAATGTTGTCGTCGTTGTCGTCATCATCGTCAGCTTGTGAAATAAAAGCAACGGAACCTTTTGAAGATAACCACCAAGGTTCTTCACAGAGAAGAGAATTCTTTGTATTTCTCGGTAGATTGACCGTGATTACTGGACGTTGATCAGCGCGTAACTCGGTGGGTGAAGAAGATTGGACAGGTTCAAAAACTTTTTTCTCGACTATGAGCTTGTAAACGAGTATTGGTTGATCCATTCCCGGAAGTTTTACCTCGTAATACTTTGAAATATCTGATCCCTGAACCATCATCTCTTCATTGCATTGTTGCTGTGGAGGTTGATGTGGGAACTGCTGTGGAGGTTGATGTGTGAGTTGATATAAAGGCTGATGTGGAGGTTTATGATGTGGGATATGATGTGGAGGTTGAAGTGGAGGTTGATATGAGAATTGCTGTGGAGGTTGATGTGAGAATTGCTGTGAAGGTTGATATGTGAATTGCTGTGGAGATTGATGTGGGAATTGCTGTGAAGGTTGATGTGGGAATTGCTGTGGAGGTTGATGTGGGAATTGCTGTGGAGGTTGATGTGGGAATTGCTGTGGAGGTTGATGTGGGAATTGCTGTGGAGGCTGATGTTGCGGAGGCTGTGAAGAAAAGGAGGATGACCGATGATATTCATTCTGCCTTAGTGGAGTATCATCGGAGAAGGTTAACTGATGAGATTCATTTTGACATGATGCAGAATTTTGTGATGGGGAGCCAGAAGGCAATTCATGTGAAGATAAAACAACAAACGAGTCGTTTTGTAATGAAGGGATATGGGAAGGTATGATAATTTTTTTTTGTTGTGGGAGTGAAGAAGGTGTTGAATAATTATTTAATTTTTGTCCTTCTGTTAAGACAGATTGACAATTTCGAACCGGTGCAGTTGAAGGTGATTTGACGTTCTTCTTATTCTTCTTCTTTTTCTTCTTTTGTGAAGGACATAAGGGATCATTGTTGAGTTTTGATTTGCTAGGCTTCTTATTGTTGTGTTGTGTTTTACCACGATGATTGTCTGTACAAGTTGTTTGTGGATAGTCTTTCTTTTCAGCATTGATCCACGTTGATTCTTGAACTGCGCGAAAAAAAAAAAGGTCGAGTTTAGTGATGACGGGTAATAAAATTATAAATTTGATGATATACACAAATTGGGGAGGGGAGGGATAACAGAATTTTAGAATTGAGAAACTCTCAAACATGTACGCGTGCGTGTTTTGTTATTCATTGGGTTCGTATTTACGTGATAAACAATTCATTATCCCCCGACATTAATTTTTTTTTTTTTTAAAGGAGACATTTACCTGATACTACATTATTATTGTTGAGTTTGTGGTGAGGGAACCTACTAATGTTGGCCATAATCGAAAATTTATACCTCGAAATAGAAAGGTTTGATAATTGTTGTGGTTTTTAAAAGAAACCCTTAAAGAAAAAATCGAATGGAAAAAAAAAAATATTATATATCTTTTTATATCTTTTTATATATTTTAATGGTGTATGGTATTGTTTTATTTTTTCTCTCTCACTCTTTTTTTTTTTTTTTTTCTTTTTTTTTTTTTTGTGGTTTATTTTTTTTTTTTATTGTGTGTGCCAATGTTTGTAATGTTTGCAAGAAAGTGTCTGGAATTTTTATTTTTTTTTTTTTATTTTTTTTTTCATCGTAAAATTTCCCCCGTTATTTATATCACAATTTTAACAGTGGAGGGAATAAAAAAAAAAAAAAATTTTTTCCCCGTTTTCTTTTCCGGGAAACATAACCGGCATAATGTGACAAAATGGAGGGTAAATCAAAAATATGTTAAGAATATCACTTGAACAAACACATTAAAGTAAAAGATTTTTGATGGGCGTTCATTTATAGTTGTGTTACCGTGGTGCAGTTCAAAAAGAACCTTACATGTAGGAAAAATATGTACAATATAGAAGGTCACATTGAAATTTTTTTGTTGTTTTAATTTATCCGATAAAAAAGGGGTTTTGGTTAAAAAGGACCCATTGTTCGACGTATGCATGAAAACCAAACGAAGAACGATCTACAATGTTGGAGGACATTACCAATAACAAAAAAAAAAAAAAATTAAAGAGAAAGAGAGAGAGGGAGAATAAGAGGGAGAAGAAAAACCAGTTGAGTCATTCTAAAATTAGGAATCAAAAAAAATAAAAAATAAAAAATAAAATAAAAATAAATAAATAAAAACATGATAAACTTCTCACCCCCTTATTTTACTAGTACAAATTGAAAGTAGGTTAGATTTTGAAAAGTAATTGTAAAGTAATTTCGATCAATATTATCTAATTGTTTGTTTTAATAGTATATAATAGTCAATTGTGGGCGAAGAGGAAAAGGCAATTTATTATTATCAAACTGTGGGTTGTATATCATTGGGCGGAAGATAAAAAACATTAGATGCAAGATTCCCAAATAGTCGATAACCCCACGCGCCCTAGACGCACTTTTGACTGTACTTTGACCAACTTCAGTTAAAACCTGTTTAATATATTTGGTGATTAGTGAGAACCAATCACGACCGATGGACTTATCACCAATTTTTCGGTGAAATGTCCTTTTTTTTTTTAAAAAAAAAAAAAAAAAAAATGGGGGGGGGGGGTAGGAACGTCGAGAGGATCGCATTTCCACGCTTCAAATAAAATAAAAACAAAATTTCTGACGGATCTCCTTTTGATTCCTAATCCAAAAAAAAAAATGATGTTTGTTTCAGTAAATAATCATCTGAAATTTTCCCATTGTACGACCTCAGCTTCCCTGAACTACTGTCGCTATTTGTGGGATTAGGATAGATGAAGCGATAAACAAATGACTCAAAGAATTATCACAATTTTTTGAAATCGCGTGTTTATCGCAGAAATTTCGTAAAACTAAAAGACCTTTTTTGGTTTAGTACGGATTTATTCCGGAAAAAAACATCATCAGACTACTTGAATTGAAAGATTACTACTAAATACCCCACATTTTAACTTTTATCTATACTAAAAAAATTCTAAACTGGTGATTTGATAGGAAATTCCTTCATTCAAATAAATTTCTCCGAAATTTATTATTTATTTTAATTAAAACATGTGATGATCACTTTATGTGGCATTAAAGAGGTTCGTTCATTCTTTATTTTTAATTTTTTTTTAAAAAAAAAAAAAAAAAAAATTTCATTTTCACACCCTTTTTTACTTAAATACCAAACTATTCCGTGTCATCGATCCTTTGTTCGAGTTCGAAATTTAGAACTTCACCAAGCAAAAATTTCCCGCCAAAAAATTTCAACCAACGACCAATTAATTTCCCGCCGTCCTCCCTAACTAAAAATCTAAAACTTTATCTCTTTTGAGCAATTCCATTTATTTACCATATGACTAATCTACTACCACAAAGCTATTCTTGGCGGCGTAATGGGACACATAAGATATATTGGTAAATTCATTGGATTAATATATCACAGAGACAAAAATCAACTTTAAAATAAGGTTTGGATACAAATAAAATTTGTGATATACTTATAATCGCTAATGTATCACACGAAAAAACAATACGTTTCTCAATGACACTGCCTCGTCTGTAACGTTGTAATTTCAGGGGATGAGAGGTCGAGGAACCCTTGTTCTTTGTGGATTTTATCCACATTATCCACATTGAATAACTTGTTTCATTCATCCCTTGTTTATCAAATTTAGTTGCTAACAAGAAATTCTGATAAATTAAATGGTCCCACCTATCTTTTTTTTTTATTATTTTTCGCATTAATCGTTCCGCAGGGAAGTATCTAAAGGTTGCTTGGATTTGATTTTTTACGAGTAAATCATCCCAGGGAACTTAAGTTGACGAATTGTGTTCGCGATACGGATTTTTTTAAAAACATGACTTGTTTCAAACGCGAGATTTACACGAAGTAGTTTTTTTCTACTTTCAGGATTTGCATTCAGACTCGGCCGAATATTTATCTTTTACCAAAAACGTAAAGGAACGCTAGCTAATAATGTATCGAGAACCTTTTTCCATTTTGTTTATTTATATTTTGAGGTTTAAAGTATTTCTAAAAAATACCCCTCAACCTTGTGTAAACTTTATTTCAAACATAAACAAAACAAGAATGGCGTGCTGTTCTGGATACGGTCAACCGTTAAGGGAACACATAGATTTCGATTTGACCTCTGTTTGATTCAAGAACTTTCTAGTGCGATGTTTGTACCCTATCGGGTGTATCATTACACCGACTCATAAAAGAAAATAATCAAGTTGATTGAGATTTTTGTGCAAATGAAACTTATATAAATGAGATTACAGTTTTAGGTTGTGCGTGACTAAAATAAACAATTTAATTTGACTTGATAGGGATAACAAATGATGATAGTGACAATGATGGTGATAATTTAAAACCCTCATTCATTACCGGATATTATCTTTTACCGACCCATCGAAATTCGATTTGTATCCCCAGTAAATTGTTTATTTGATTTATAAAAAAAAAAAAATAATAATAATAATAACAATAAATTAACGCGTTGTATATATGTGTGTGTTTAGGTAAGCCAAAAAAAAAAAAAAAGAGAGAGAGAAAAGAGAAAAGTGTAAAAATGTTTATTATTTAATCGTCTTTACGCATAATTAATGAGAATTCCTTTTAAACCAATCAAACCGATCAATGGATTGAGAAGGTTCTATTTTTTTTTCGAATACTTTGACATCAATAATTGGTCGGAGGTCAAACAACCGTTTTGATTTCGACCCAGAACGTGCAGATCCATGTTGGATAATCTTTCAATCTTCATTGGAACATGACAAAAATTAAAGTGTCACATGTAATGCTTATTTCTTTATGAAAACTCCTAATCTGGGAGAAGTTTACGTATGCGAAAGGGTTTCTTGTAACCATCAACTGTTAAGAATATTAATTTAATTTATAAAAATTATAAACATTACAATTCTTTAGGCATAACAGGGAATAAAAAATTTTAGTGACCAATTATTTGAACATGATGACCTTCTTTTTAATGACCACTAACTGTTAAAAGGTGAGAATATATTTTTTCCGGGTTAAAGTTTTGATTTCATGAACGCTTGAAAAATATATTATTGTTGTTACATTTGACCTTCTCATATGTTTATATATATTTATATATATATATATATATATATATTATTTTACACAACCTTCACGAAACACATTTCTTCCCTCTATATGGCAAATCTTCCTTGTCGAAGGGAAAAGCGGTATTTATTCGATATGAAATTGATATTCCAAGATGTGGACTTGCTTTGCATATATTTATTTTTATTTTATTTTTTTTTTTTTTTTTTTGGTGTTGACAGATTACAACATCTTTGATGACAACTTTAATAAAAAATGATCCAATTACAATTCCGATGCATGATATTTAAACCGGTATGATTTAAAATCTAAGTATTGTATGGTCCTTTAAGGTTTAACTCCATATTTTTTCCCTTCCTTACGTTTTTTTCATATCGAGATAATCACCTAAGCTAACCAACAAATAATCATCCATCAGCCGCTTCAAAACGCGGTACACGCCGCCTAATCACACGGTAACACTAAACAATCAACTTTTTTTTTTGATTAACCTAAAAAAGAAAGTAATTTTATGTGGGGTTTCTAACTTTCTAACTATGATTTACGGTATATTTGTATTTTTTTTTAATTATAATGTATAAAAGTAATAATCACATTTAAAACAAGTAATAAACATTTCATTTATTATGCAGGGTTTTTGTTCGGATTTTTTAACGTCCTTTTTGTTGAGGTGATTTGATGATTATCATTCCCTTTCGTGATTATTCAAACGTTGTCCAAGGTTCTAGTTTTTAAGGGGAATTATCCCGTTCAAGAGACAGTTACATATATATCTCTTTTTTTTAAAAAAAAAAATAAAATAAAAGGAAATTAAATTACGTCAGAGATAAATTTTTTTGCAGAGGAACCAACCTTTTATCATGAAGTCACAGTCACAATCACAGACTTCGTCAAATAGTACATAATATTAACGCCATGACTCGGAGCAAAAAGTAACGGTAATATGAATTAAAAAAAACTTGTAACAAAAAAAATTGCTAATCTCTGTGAAAAAATGAAAAAAAAAAAAAAGAAACTTGTAAATATTTACAAAACTTGTAAATGAAACAACTTGTAAAATGGGACTTATGACTTTTTTTTTTTTTTTTTTTTTTTTTTTGAGATCCTAAAGTTCCAACTAACAAAATTGTTACACTTACCGTTATTTCTTGTGAAAATTTTTTTTTTTTCAAAGGCGGAAAAAACAGGAATGCGTCAAAAATAATAAAAATAGGAAACTGTTCCAATAATCCGATCATGGGTGGCACGTGAATTTCTCCTCGACCAAAGGAAAATGCACAAAATGTCAATCGTTACGTAATTATGATGCAATCCTAATTTCGAGTCAAAAATTAATCTAATTTTAGAAATATGTATTTTTTTAAAACGTACCTTTACTATTCTTCTTGGTCTTCTATTTCTTCTATTAAAAAAAAATAGGTATAACTATATAAAGTTAAAAAAATTAAAATTTAATTTGATCCGATAAATTAAGACAACTTATATTAAATTAAAATATATTTATTTCATTAATTTTCCTATCTTTTATATTAATTAAAGATATAAATAATAAATCAAATTTAAATTAAATATTTTATTTTAAACTGTTTCAAATATCAAATTTAATATTTTACATGTTATGCTTTAAAGTATTTTAAAATATAAAAACATTTAATATTTGAATATTTTGAAGTAAAAAAAAAAAATTTCTAAAAAATAAAAAAAATTTGAAATTAATATTAAATCTGATTTTTTTTTTTTTACAAAATATTTATATAATAAATTTTTTTAATCAAAATACAAAAATTCTTTTTATATATATATATTATTTTGATATGTTTTTAATGAAATATAATTTAATTAAAAATTATAATAATTAATCATAACAAAATATAAAAGTTTTATTTTATATTATATTATTATTTAATAATCAAAATAAAAATTTTAAATATTATTAATAAAATTATAAATAATCAATAATTTAATTTATATTTAAATTGTTAAATATTAATCTAGTATATTAAAAAATTATTTAAATAATTACTATTTTTATTATTAAATAAAAAAAATTATCATATCATTTAATATCATATAAAATTTGCTGATTAATGATAATCTCATCTTAAATGATTTTTTAATTGCAATTAATAATAATAATTAATAGCAATATTTAGTAATGACAAATTATAAGATCATTTACTAATAGTATTGGCATATAAGTGTACTATTAAGCATATATTAAAATAAGGAAATATCTTTAATCATTAACTCAGAATCTTCAAGATGTATTATATTCTCTTGCTTGAGAATTTTAGTATAAAGATACAAAAGGAATCTAAAACAATAATGATTAATATGAATAGTATAAAAAAAAGATCTTTAGAAATAATTACTAATATTTCACTAAAATTAATGAGAAAAATAATTTCTTTTAATACAATTGTAACTAAAATAAATTTCTATAATACAATTATAAAAAATAATTAATTAGAAAAAACTGGTATAATAATAAGTTACAAAAATAAAATCATGATATTATACTGAGAAGATCCCACTATCAATGTTCTCATTAAATTTTACTAATCATCCTTAATCAGGACTAAGACAATCAACAATAATGAAAATGATGAAGAGTATAAAAAAGAAAAATATAAAAAAGAAAGTAAAAAAAAATGAATAAGAAAAATTATTTTGTTATATTAAAGAAATCTCAATTAAAGAAACTCAAGAGATTAAAAAGGAATTAGAAAGTCTATTACAGTAAATTAAACTATAAAGAAATGCTTTTATCAATATAAGAAAATAGAAAAAAAGAATATTCTATATTAAATAATTAATAGCACAATAATTAAAAAGATTTAATAAATTTATATTTTAATATGTAGACCTATTTATTTGGAAAAATGATCAGTTTGGAAGAACTATGTTATTACATATACTATTGATATTGGAGAAGTAATGCTAATCAAATAAAGATTTTACCAAATCTTATACAAAAATTAAGAATTCATAAAAGAGAAATTAATTATCTGCTAAAATCAGGATTTATATAACTCTCAAAAAGCCAATAAATTTTACTTGTTATAGTAGTAGAGAAGAAAAATAACAAGAAATATTTATGTATTGATTATTATAAGCTAAATAGTAAAAAGGATAACTATCCTCTATCACAAATTGATAACATATTAAAAATATTAGAAAGATCCAAATAGTTTACCTTTTTAGATCTTACAAGTAGTTTTTAATAAGTGAAATCAGATTCTAAAGACAGAGAAAATAGCATTTTCATTATCAAATTTGATACTTACAAATTTAATATTATTTCTTTAGATTTCGTAATATCTTTATAATATTTCAGCAATTAATAGATATTGTTTTATATGATATTTTATAACAAAATATAGTCATATATATTGATAATATTAATATTAATACTAAAATATTTGACAAACATCTTTTGCAACTGAAATAAGTATTTTTATAATTGTAGTAAACTAGGCTAAATTAAACTCAGAAAAATGTTTCTTTTTAGTAAAAAGATATTTAGATAGATTTAAATAAAATAGCTATTATGAGAAACTTTCTA